TTAGAAAAACTTTTTCTTTAAGAATTTGATATTTGAAAAAGATATCAACTTAGCCACCCTGGTCACAAATGAAATTTTGTTAGATTTTCTTATGTTTGCTTTAGTATGCTATTTTTTTTTAATAACTTACAAAAGGGGAGCAGAGCAAGTGCCTCAGCGTATAACCTTTTCCATTCAGCGCTTCTGTAATAAGAATCTTTAATCCAGCACTACCTACCTCAAATGACTGCTATGAAGATTAAATAAAGCCATGCACAGAAAGCACCTAATACAATGCCTTATGTCATACAGTAATGTCCGTCATTATTATTATTACCAATGTCATTAGCATTATTCCTCCCCACATGTTTCAGACTAGAAACTTTCTTATACTGTCTTTGTTTTAAACGTCATCATATGCATATACTTTTTATTCCCACGTTTCTAACATGAGTTCAACAGTAACATGAAGGTCTTTAGGGAAAAAACACTAAATGGTTAGCCCTAACAAACAGCTTTTCCATCAACTGGTCCTTAGGTCAATACCTTTATTCAGAGCTTGGAAATCTTATGTTGATAGTAAAACTTCCTTTATCACTGAAGTGGCTTTCCGAATGCTTCTCTTAGATTATAGGTGAAATACAGGTCACCATGGTTCTACTAAATGTTTGGAGCAACAGCACACAGCTTGGTTATTTAAATGTTCCTAGTTAAATGGTCAAGTAAAAGCTTAAAAAGAAGTGAAAATTATTAATCGCTTCTCAGCCTTGTGGCTAAGATCAAGTGTAGATGTGAAAATTAACTGTACTATCATATGAACAGATTACTTTTTAATGACACTCTCTCCCGGCTTAGTGAGGGATTTTTTAGTAGACAGACAATACACAAGTATAGAACATCCTGACATGAAATAACACTGGTCAAGAATAGTTGTATGGATCCTGCAATCCCATTACTAGGCATCTGCCCAGAAGAAAAAAATCATTTTATCGTAAGGACATTTGCCCTAGACAGTTCATCACAGCTCAATTTACAATCACCAAAATGTGGAAGCAACGTAAATGCCCACCATCCAGGAATGGATTAACAAGCTATGGTATATGTATACCATGGAATACTATTTAGCCATAAAAGGGTGAACTTTATATCTTTTATATTAACCTGGATAGAGTTAGAACATATTCTTCTTAGTAAAGTATCACAAGAATGGAGAAGCAAGAATCCACTGTACTCAATACTAATATGAGCCAGTAGACAATCAATTCAAGGTGGGGGCAAGGGAACAGAGGGGGAATGGCTGTGCTCCCACTTAATGGGCACAATGTAAGGGTGTATGCCATACGTCTTGGGGGCGGGACACAATTATAAGAGGGACACTACCTAACAAATGCAAACAATGTAACCTAACATACTACAAACCTAATTCTTTGTACCCTCAAATTAACCTAAAACAATTAAAGAAAAAGAACAGCTATACTGAAACATTTTTCTACTCAACTTTCACTTCAAAGTTATACCGGAATTTCCTATAGCAGAATACAGCTGCACAAAAAAAGATCTAAAATATAAAGTATGAATAACCTTTACTGCAGAACAAAAATTATCATGATAATCATTTTTATACACAGACAGGAAAACCAACACTAAGGGAATGAACCATATAAAACTCTGCCACTCAAGTCACTGAGACAATGAGAAATACTTTCTCACATTAAGTCCTGGTTGAAAAACTCACTGACCCAGACCATACAAGCTTCAGAGTGGTTTACAAGGTAAGGTGCACAGGCCTTACCTCACACCAACTCTCACCCATCTGCACACCCTGTATTTGACTGCCGCCTGTCGCATCCTACACTCTGACTTTACAGAGCTGCATTCACTAAATACACTGTGTTCTTTCTCAATTTTGAAATATGCTCCCTACCTTTCTGATCTACTTGAAAAAGTTAAATCTGGACACTTTTAAAACTTGGCTCTATGAATACTTAACCTATTCTATGAATACTTTTCCTACCATGCTAAATCTTTGACTTGTTCTTTTACGTCTCCATTTTCTTTGTATATAATATCATTTTTGTTGACCTGTATCCCCTTGCTAAGTAACTAAGGTTATGAATAACATGGCAAGGTTGCTATCTATTCATCTTTTTATGTCCAGTAAATACCATTGCTCGTAGTAACACAGTAACCATACAATCATCTATACATGATGTATAGATGGATGCATGAATTTAGCTTGAGCTTACAATTAAGTAGATTACAAAAAAGTCTTGAGAAGTAGAAAATATGCCCCCTCCAACAATCATATATCTAGTTACATACTTAAAATTGTGGTAAAGAGAAATACAAACTTTACTCTAGATATTGAGAAGTTAAAAGAATAGTTCCATGGCTCACTCAGAAAACAAAGTATCTATTAGTTCAATATTTATAAGTTTCAATTTACTATAATCATAATAGGATAACTGCTATATATTCAATTATGATCTGTAAAATCAGTAAAATTTTCTTTATAAATCACGATTTTTAAAAAATGTTATTTTCATAATGTTAGAGTAAATTCATTTAATATTAAGCATCTGATATAAATTAAACCAAGTGTAAAACATTCAGATAAATGAGAATGATCACAGAATTAACAACAGAACACCTTACTTCCAACTGTTAATGTTCTTCAGCATAACATCTATCACTACGAAGGTTTAGAACTCCAGTACCTAACCAGGTAATTCTCTCCATTTTTCTTTGAAAAAAAAAAGTAGCTAGTATTTTTTTCTGTATTTTTGACTGATAGTCCACGTGATTTAAAAATTCTTAATTCTAATAATGCTACCATATAATGAGTACCTGTTATTACATTACTGCATTATAGCTACCATTTCAGATATATCACATTTAATGCTCATATCAAATCTGTATTTTGGTACTGGTATCCCCCTTGAAATTTTCTAACAAGAAAACAAAGCTTCTGAGAGATCTAATAATCTAAAGTCTCATGATCAGTAAGTGAGAAGGGAAGAACCATCTGATCTCAAGCCTCTGTCCTTTCTCCAACAGTATATCATCTCTCTTAATCCTCCATGAAATAAGTTACTCATTCAACTTGTCCAGTATAAAATTGGGCTGGCATTATTCTATGTTCATACTAGGATAAAACAGAATGCTAGTATCGAGGGCAAAAACACAAAACCCTCGAGATAAACTTTTTATGTGACAGTAAAATTAACTCATCACTTTGAATAACATAACCCAATCATGGCACAGAAAGGAATTAAAATAATTTAATGTCTGCAGTCCCCCAACCCTGAGCCTGTTAAGGAACCACGTCAATATCAGGAGGAAAGTGGCGGCCAAGGGAGGGAAGCTCCCTGAGTGAAGCTTCATCTGAATTTACAGCTACTCCCCATCACTCACATCACCTTCAGAGATAAGTGGAAGCATTAGGTTGCCATAGGACAGTGGTTCTCAACCTTCCTAATGCCACAGCCCTTTAATATGGTTTCTGTGGGTCGCAACCCACAGGTTGAGAACCACTGCCACAGGAGGTCAAACCCTACTATGAACCATGCATGCAAAGCATCTGGGTTGCAAACTCCTCGTAAGAATTTAATCCCTGACGATCTCTGGTGAGCTGAGGTAGTGATGCTAGTCAGGGAGTGGCTGCAAATATAGATTATTATTAGCAGAGAGGTTTGACTCCACGGAGACTATAATAAATCAATTGCTTGCAGACTCATATCAAAACCAACTCTCAGTCCATGGAAAAACTGTCATCCACGAGGCCTGGAGCAGAGTCGTGGCTCACACTTATAATCCTAGCATCTTGGAAGGCTGAGGTGGGTGGACTGCTTGAGCTCATGAGTTCAAGACTAGCCTAAGAAGGAGTGAGATCCCATCTCTACTAAAAAATAGAAAAACTAGCTGGGCCTTATGGCAGGTACCTGTAGTCCCAGCTACTAGGGAAGCTGAGGTAAGAGAACTGCCTGAGCCCAAGAGACTGAGGTTGCTGTGAGCTTTGATAATGCCCCGGCACTATACCCAGGGCAACAGAGTAAGAATTTGCGGAGGGGAAAAAAAAAAGGAAAACTTGCATGAAACTAGTCTTTGGTGCCAAAAAAGTTGGGAATCACTGATTTACATACTTAGAAAGATGCAAGTTATTATTGAACAAGTTATCTAAACTATCAAACAGTCCGATTCTAGATCACTCTGTTTTTCAACGTCTATTCATTCATTCACTTAGAGATAGGGTCTTATTCCGTCACCCTAGGTTGAACTGCAGTGGTGTGATCACAGCCCAATGCAGCCTCAAACTCCTGGGCTCAGGTAATACTGCCTCACCCTCCTGAGTAGCTAGAACCACAGGAGTGTACCACCGCACCTGGCGAATTTTTTTGTTTGTTTTTGGTAGAGGTGGGATCACTATGTTGCCAGGGCTAGACTCAAACTCCTAGTGTCAAGTGATTCTCCTGGCTTAGCTTCTGAAAGTGCTAAGATTACAAGCAGGAGCCACCACACCCAGCTCAATATTTTTTTTTAAACCTAATTGTACATCAGTCTAAATCAGTAAGTCGTTTTTTATAAGTAAAATTTCTATTATTTTAAGATTATTATATTTGCATTATAAAACTCTCAGAAATATAAAATGACATAAAAATGTTAACAGTTATTACTAGTGTGACTCTATAATTTTCATTCAAACCTCTATACTTTTCAGAGTAAGAGGGGCACTATAGTTATAAAAGGGAAAAACAGATTTAACCAGAACTGTCCCAGTAACCAGGACATGTGGACCACCAACTACTGCCCTATGACTCTTCTACTCATTACACTTGTAATCTTCCTGTAACTATCCACTGGGAAAGTATATACAATGCCTTTGGTGGAAATCATTTGGCAATATATTTGAGTACTTTACGTAATGTTATAGGAGTACTTTCTTTGCTAACTACCCACGTTTAGAAAGGCTATTTCACTAAGGTAGATTACAACAGTATAGAACTTCATAGCTTCAACTGTACCTCATCCTGAAGTTCATCACCACTTTTAACAGAAGCGAGCATATCATATAAAGTGCAGCAAAGATCTTCAATTCGTGGTGCTTCAGTCATTTCCTTCATAGTTGCATTTAAGTATTTCTCAACTTCACACCACAAAAAGGAGCCATTTGTTTTTTCCACAGGCTTAATCTCTGGAGTGCAATGCTCCTGGAGACGTTCATTCTGAAACTTCCTGTAATCTAAGGTTATTTTCTGATTTTCACCGTTTACTGGCGGCAGGTCATCAAAGGGGTCCAAATCATGCATGTCAAATGAAAATGCTAAATTTTTACCAAAAAAACCTCTATCGCCATATTCCTTCTCTGTCATCTGGATAAGAGCAGTAAGATCATCTTGACTAAAATGAGAAATAATTCGACTAGTAGCATTACAAGCTGCAGTGGCAGATGACGATGGAAAAGGGCCAAACATCTGTTTTATAGCCTTTGTCTCCTTGTGACCAACGGTGTCCTTCAAGTGAAATGTCATGAAGAGAAATGCAGCCGCATTTTCAATGGCTTCTCTCGCACTATCTGTTCCAACTATTAAAAAACAAAAGACACAGTATTAACTCAATTGAATCATGGATCAAGTTACCACTTTCAAAAAAACTACTACAAATTTATTCTTCTGAGTAAATTCAACATTAAAAGTATATCAATAAAGATAACCAATTTAGGAGCAAAAAAATGCATTCCCAAATTTTGGGTACATAAATTATTATCAGCAATCATTCTATATCTAAGTATAGGAAATATCTAATAGCAACCTTTACCTTTTTCTAAAAACAATTCAAAACATTACCTAAAGTTCATATAAAACCAATTTTAAAAGATTGATTTGAGCTAGTTAAATAAAGCATAGTAAAGTGCAAAAAAAAATTCTAAATTGTAGCCTTTTGGAGCTGAAACAAAATCTCAAAGATCTATAACCATCTTTCCAATTTGTACTATAAACCTAAGATGACAGGAAATACTTACATAGTTATCATCCAAAAACATTTAATAACATTGAGTTTAAAATGAATTGTCATGATACAGAAAAGAAAGTTGTGTAAAGTACTCAAATATATTGCCAAATGGTTTCCACCAAAGGCAGAAATAAATAAATATAAGAAGAGGTAAGGAATCAGTCCCTAATTTCTTTAAGGCATATCTAATTTTCTCAAATAAAAGAAGAACTGTAATGTAAATATTCATGACTCCCCAAAAGTCAGTGACTTACCTGAGGTAATACTGGTAAAGTTAGTAATACAATTAAGACTACCATCTTCCTGAAATCACAGCCTCAACAGCATTACTCACAAATTTTGAACAACTTATTACAACTTGACTGAACTCTTACCCAGCCAGGCGCTAACTCTATCATTTTCTCCCAGCATTGCTGTGTATTACACCTTTCTTGCTCCAGCAAAAAAGGATTTAACATCTCCAAACCAGGTCTTGGGCTTTTGCATACCCACTCAAGGCCTATGATTGTTTAAATGCTAGCCCAACTGCCCCATTCAAGGTACATACAGTATTATGACCTTTTTATTATTCTCTCACTATACCTCATCCAAATAGGTGGCTCACCAGAGATTAGCTGACTTAAACTAAACTCAGGCCTTACTGACACTAGACTAGTATTTTTTATACTATATAACACTGTCTCAATAACTTCTTACTATCTGATATTTATCTATGTATAGAAAGCTAACAGTGTATATATGTGAAAATAGGTAATTAATACAATGTATATCTATTACCAATTTCTTCAATCATAAATTCTACTTTTACTATTATAAATAATTCAGACAACACTAGCTGACAGTTATTCTTTTATTATTTAGGAAAACACATGACAAATATCTTCTATAAATTATGTGGTGTTTTTAAGTTAACTATATAATATTTATGACACGTATTAATTATGTACATTTTACTATTGCTTACAAAACTTTAGTTTTGGATAATCTAGGGATTCAGATAATTCTACAGATAACGTAACAGGGTTGGTACTACTGATACTTATGTCTCAGTGAACATGGAATTACTATTTACAAATTTATTCTATATCTAACATTATAAATATACATTTCTTTTGTAAAGATACCATTTTGCATGTTGAGATTTTTAAAAAAACAATTTACTAAAAAATTTCACATTAAATCTTACTTTGTCCTAACAAAGTTATCTCCATTTTATAGATGCTAAATAAAAACTGAGAGTTTGAATAATATGGAAAAGATCAAATAACTGTTAAGTCATTGAATAAGATACACTACAGTCTTCTAAAAAATGTTCTTTCCTCTCTGCCATACTGATTGCCTATAAATGTCTTGTTTACTTAATAAATTTTTAAGAAATAAATCACCTTAAGAAATGAACTAATAAATGGAAGAATAGTTTTAATATACTCTAAAAGTGTAATTAACTTAAATATCCATTATTAAGGTTACTGGTTGAATAATGGTACAGTCACATATTGCATTCATTAAATACAATACGGTGGATTCATACATCTTGCAATGAGAACATTTCATTAATACATCAATTGGGAGAAGAAGTTACGAGTCTACTTTCAAATAAAACAATTGTAATCATAGAAACACCAGCAAAGATCAAACTTAACATTTTCAGCGTTTCAAATTCTTTATCAGCATTTACTTACACCTATATAATTAAAGAATTTTTAATTTAATTGGGTTGTGGTGCTTCTTAAGTGTTAACACTCTTGCCTAAGTACTAACCCTCCTTCTCAACAACCTCCCCCCCCCAACCCGTATTTCCGAGTTGGACTGATAAGAATGGACATGTGTTCACACCACAATGTGGTCTTTCAAGAGCAAATCTGTATACACGCTGCTTGTCTGGAATTTCAAATATTGAGAACCACTAGTAATGAGCATTTGTCGACACGAATGACTACCCAACAAAAATAGTGAATACTGCATTGTGAGAACAAGAACTTTTCCAGCGCGCTGAAACACGCAATGATTAATTTCTACTCGCGCTTTCCCGCAGTCACACATGCGCGTTATCCGGACTGAGCACGGAGACGCGCGTTATTCCGCGCTCTGTTGGGGAGTGATGACGCGCAATGCCCAGGAAGATTGGCTGTTCACAGACTGCCCGGATAGAAGGGCTGACCAGGATTGGAGCAGAGCAACGAGGTCCCCAGCACAGCGGTAGCAAAAGCTTCATCCCAATTTGTTGAGACAGCCTACCCATGATGCCGGCATAGGTCCTTTATTGACTTAAAGACATTTAGCGTTTGAGACTTAGAGAAAAATCTTACAATGAATACAATCAGTTGTCTAACTTGCCAAAGCTACGCCAGGCCCACCTCCCCTCAAGAGCCTCCAGTGGCTGCTGGACCAGCAGCCAACTGAGTACACGGTGAAAAAGGAGATAGGGTGGTCTCAGTTAATGCTGCTAGGTTTAGAGAGTATAAATTTGTAATATGTAGTCATGTTCTGTTCTCTCACACTACATCCAAAACTGAACAGGATACATTATGAGAATCTTTTCCCAAATAACATCGTCATTTCTCTTTATAGTTTATATATAATTTAAAACTGATTAATCTTACTAGGTTTAAGATCTTCATTGAGTTACGATTTACGCTCAATTCTTGAAGCTCTTTATATCTGTTCATATCAGTGACTGTGATAATCTTACAAACAGGAATCAAGATTTTAAGTTTAGCTTTGCTGCAGGATAAAGTTTTAGAAAAGAATAAAATAAATACTAAACAATTTGCAAAAGTGTATAGGAAACTTAAGGACTCAAAACTTGTAAGGAAGCTAGTCTAAAAACCTAAACACTGGGTATCTAATTTTCTATCCATAAAACAATGAACAAGATAGACTAAACCACAAAACTGGCTCGACACACCTGGCACTTAAACCATAATGTATTTAACACATTAACTGCCGTATGAGTTATAAACTTTTTTTCACGTTTTACTGTTACTTTTTACATTACTAATTTTCAAGTTTTGGTATTTTTATTGGTGTATGTTTTAAGAGTATTTCGTGGCCCCAAGGAATTTTTTTTTTTTTGTGGCAATGTGGTAAAGGAATTCTTGTGTTAATAATAAATATCCGTACTGACCACTTAACCCTTACATTAAGACAATATGAGATATGAAATGCACAGTAAACTCTAAGACACTTTCCAGGATAATAACAAAAAGCTAAAAGTGAAATAAGATGGCCAAAATTCACTTTTAAGTGGAAAAATATGATCAGACCTCAATGTGGTAGGCTGACTGGTGGTCTTCAAGTATAAGGCATCACCAACCTTGGGGGAAAAAAAAAACTAAACCTTATTTTGAACTTTACCATATAAAATAATTGGTAACTTATTACTATGTTATAAAATATTTTAAAATCAAAGTGTTGAGTGGTAGCTACAATCTTAAATCATCCTCAACACAAAAATGTATGTCTATATTTCTTTTGATTGCGAAATATTAAGAATTAGTTGTAAATGTCACTTTCTTCAATAGCCTACATTAATAGTTGAGAAGTCCTTGAAAATAGATGAGTAAAAAAATTTATTTGAAAACTGAATTAAATACCCACCAAATGCTTGCTTCTTTATTGACACATACTCAATTTAGAAGTTGTTAACAAGAGTTCTTTGATGAGCTAAATCTTAATTATTTAGTTGAAAATATTTCACAAATAGCTTTTAGAAATATTCAAAGCCCTAAAATTTGTTTTTTCATATGATCAAACATCAGTTTTACCCCCAACAATTGATCTGCAACTGTGAATACCATAACATCATACCCTGCATTGTTTACTTAAGCTCATTCCATTTATTCAAAGTATCAGCAAGGCAAGCAAGCTAGCATAAACATACTGTACTTGAATAGAGACTAGCTATTATCTCATTTCTTAATCAAATAATTAATTTTTTTACTAATATGTAAAATATTTATACCAGTGACTTTCCTATATTAAATATAACAGTGCAAAGTATGTTACATAATTATAAAATAATTGAACTTGAACATATACTATACACCACGCCCCCATAATTTTACTCCTTCCAATGCCTGTTACTATAATTTTTAAATAAGTCTCATGAATCTTGCTAGTATTTTCTTCATTTTACAGAAAAGCTTAGATACAACAAGGTTAAATAACACAGAAGCCACAAAAACATACCAGGGGCTTTTGGGGGATAGATGGATGGAGTATTATGGTACCTTCCAAATGATCAACAAATATTAAAACAAAATATCAAACTTTTGACATAATACAAGGAGACATTTACCATGTGGCTTTGGGGAAATAAACTAAGCAATTTCTGTGATATAAATTTAAAACTGCCTAAGTAATGTAATTTAATATAATGTGCCTCGTTTATTTTGGAGTACAATTCCTTTTGTGCATCAAAACAACTTTAGCAGTACCTTGCAGTAAATAGGCAAAGTGTTCAAGGAATATTCACTATAGTAATTTGAAGGAGTTAATTAAAATGTTAAGATTAGTCCCACATCTATATAAAAACTACTACTTTCAGGGTTGAGTAAATAACTAAAGGAA